CAGCGCCAAGCAGCGGCACCGCGACGCGCACGCCGCACGGCCCGGGCCAGGTGAGGTTAACGGAGATTGAATGCCTCGCCACACACACGCACGTAAACACACACACGCACGCATTCTCTCGGCCCCAATGCCCCGATGCACGCACGCCACACGTCCACGTCACGCCCCGCGCGATACATCGTGCTTGGCACGACACTGTGTGCGTGTGTGTGTGTGTGAGCGCGCGCGTTCCGGGAAATTACCCCTCCATCTCTCTCGCTCCAACGCGTCAGGGCGGCAGGGCTTTAGCCTCTCCTAAAGGCTCGCGCGGCCTATCCGCGCCGTCTAAAAAGAGTACAGGAGGGGAGTCTGGCGTCGCGACGTCGCCGAGGTACGTCCGTACACGGAGCCAGCAACGGGACCCGCGACGCACACACACAGGCACGCATTACGCACACGCATGCACACCTTGTCGGCGGTACATAATGATTCGAAATGCATCCCGGCCGTGCGGGCAGGGCAGTGCAGTGCCGTGGCGGCTGCGGGACCATTGTGTCCGCCTCGGCCGAGGCCTCGGCATCCTGGGCGAAAGGCCTCGACGACAACGACGGCATCGCTGTGGTCGGCGAGCGCTGCCAGCGCGGACACGCAGACCGCAGGCATGCCGGCCCACAAAATAACACAAACCAGATCCGGAAAAGCTGCGCGTGACGCGAGCGACATCGTGGAGGCCGAGGCCGCGGTCGCCGGGCTGGGGATCGCTCCTCACTCGCCCCACCGCGGTCACACGCCCCACACGCCCAGCCCCAGGTGTAGGGGCGCAGCCAGCCAGCAAGAAGCGGGCGCCCCCCGCGCCCCCCGCGCCCCACAGCCACAAAAACCAGTGCGGCGCCGCCATTAGAGCAGTAACGAAGTGGAAGCCCTGCCTGACTTCAAAGGGGCGAGCAAGCCCTGCCTGGTCCCGCCCCTGGTGCCGCCCCTGGTGCAGGGGCGGAAGTGCAGGGCAAAGGTAAACAACGGGGCGGCGGACGGTCGGACGGACAGACGGACTTGGACGTGAGTGACATATGCTGATGCGAGGAGCAAGGGCCTACGGCCTACGGCCTACGGTCTACGGCCAAAGGGCCCCCAGCGGACCCTCGTCAACAGACTGTCGCGGCGTCGTCGCCGCTCACCATATTATTACCGACAGGCCGGCAAGGCAGCAAGGCGGCAAGGCGGTGTATCCGGCGCGGCCCGTGCCCGCCGCGACTCGCGCCGCGACTGTGTAAGTACACGCCCTAGGTGCGGGTAGTCACGGATACTGCGGGCCAAAAAACGCGCGGCAAGAGCGCGGCCGGACCGGAAGTCTCGGGGCCGGCCCTTCGCGGAGCAGCCAGCCAGGCAGCCAGCCAGCCTCCCAGACCCAGACGTGTGCAGCACACCAGCAGTTATACGAGGCCTGGGCGCGGACTGGCCGTAAACGAGCCCCAAGCAGCGCATAGCAGCGCATAGCGGCCTCGTGAGAGCCGACGGCGGGCCTCGGTTCGCCTTCGACCGCCGGCCGCCTCGGCCACGCAGGACGCGTTGTTGTGGGCGCTCCGTGTGGACTCACATGTGGGCACACACGCACAAACACACACACACAAACACTCACACAGACGCAAGTCTATTTGTACCGGCCATTACCCATACACGGCGCGCACTCTCTCCTTCCCCGGCGCCCCGGTCGCCTCGTCTTCCCCGCGGCAGGCTCCGGGCCGACCGGGCCGCGGGGGCGTAAACACGGACACACACACACACGCCAATCGTCGACCCCGGCTAAGCCCGAGCCAATCAGTGCCGTCTTCATCGTCGCCACTCCAATTCATTAGACACGACACGACTCCACCCGGCCGTCAGGGCAGGCAGGGCAAGCAGGCAGGCAGGCCCAGCGCCGCAGCTGCCGTGCCGTGTTGGGGGAGCGCAGAGCGGCAGAGCGCAGTGCGGGAGCAGACGCTGCCGGAACCGCCACCGAACGCCACCGAACGCCACCGCTACGCCCCAGACTGCCACCACTGCCGTCGCACACACACGAGCATCCTTCCCCCTATGCTGATGAGTTCATCAGCAACGAGGCACTGTCAAAAACAGACGGGGGGTTCGGACCCCAGGATAGCGACACCGGTCGCGCGGCCATCAGGCGTGTTTGGTGGTCGAGATACCATTATCTGGTCCTCCCCTCTGACGCGGCCGCCGCGCGCCTTTATTGCGCTCGCCATCATCATCACCGCCATCATGGCCTCGACGAGCGCGCTTAGCGACGACCCCCGCGCAGCGTGACCTCCGCGCGCGTCCGGCGATTGATTGTCCTCGACGCCGAGCTCGAGGTCCCCGCCGGCCCCGCCACGCCCCGCCACGCCCCTCGTTAGGACCACGTTATCACGCGGCGGCCGTGACGCCGCGACGCTCGGCGGCGACCTGCCGGCGGGGGTGCAGTGCAGCCGAGCGACTCAGTCGTTTCGTCGCCGTGCCGCCTCTCTCGCACGACCACGGGACGCGACATGAGTGCGACAGAGACAGCGGAATCGGTCTGTAGCCAAGCCAGCACCGCCAGCACGCCCTCTAATCTCACCCTCCTCCACACAATCTGCTGGGGGGCTGCTGCTGCGCCGGGCCCATGGCCCAGGCCAGGCCCAGGCCACGGCGGCACTGCAGACGACTTCCTGTGAAGGACAGACTACACCACCGGAACCCGACGCCCGCGACACACATGGGGTCAAAGGGAAACAAGACGAACGGACAGACGGCAGACAGACGGACAGACAGGCGGACTGCCTCGCAGGATGCACCCTCCCCTAATGCACACACACACACACACACACACACACACACACACACACTCACACACTCGCGGCGAGGAAGTCGCCCGCGTTTCAACAGCACATTCGCACTCGCGTTGTGCAAGCACTGCACCCACCCTCCCTCAGTGCCGCGACTGCCGCGTGCTGTCTGCACCTCCGCGATAGCCGACACCGCGGTCGCCAGACGTCCCGCACCCCGAGCACACCGAGCTTCGGGCCAAGCTTCGGGCCAAGCTTCGGGCCAAGCTTCGGGCCAAGCTTCGGGCCAAGCTTCGGGCCAAGCGAGCCGAGTGCATAAAAACGGGCGGCGCGACATGTTGCGAAGCGTGTTCCGCGACTCCCCAAATCGGCCACCCTGGAAAGCACTCCCCCTCCTCCTTTCCCCGACAGGTCCAGTCCGGCAGCTTGCAGCCTGCTCTGGCCGGCGTGCCCGCACTGCTGTGCCCCGCAACAATGAAACAAGACCACGACGGCGTGCCCTGGCCGTGCCCGAGCAGCCCAGCCAACCGGTGCGCTGGAATGCGCGTGCGATTCCGCCTGTTGCGGGCGGTGCCAGGCCGTGCGGCCGGGGCTGAAGCCGGGCTGGAGTCCGGGCCGAGCCGACCACGCTGCGGCCGATATCGTCCACCGACCGAGGACCAAGGGCCCACCAAGGGCCCCACAACACCCCGGGGCAGCTCTTTTGTTACGCCCAAGTGGCTTGGGTGGCGCGCCGAGCCTGTGTAGCCTGACCCCCCCCCCCCCCTCGCCTGCAACGTGGCCGACTGGCCGAGCCTCGGGCCGACCCCCCGCACAACACACACACACCTTGGACGCCCGCGGGGAGGAGCAGGCCAGGAGATTTGCCCCATTCTCGGAAGATGAGTGTGACCGCCGTAAAGGCGACGGGATGAAAGTCCAGCAGTCCAGCGGCGCAGCCCGATCGAATAAAAAGGCAGAATGGCGGCAAGTCCTCTTTGCCGTGTGGCCGTGTCCGCGCCGCGGGGGAGGGGGAGGGGGAGGGGCACGGCCGTCGTGCCGGCCGCGTCGTGCAGTCCGAGACACCTCTAGAAATTAACATCGGCGGGTCGCGGACACCATTAACGGGGTTCATTGTTTCCCAACCACGTCCGTCGAGAGTCTAGAGCGGCCTGGCGTAGAGAAGCAGAGCGCGCGCGTCCGGCGCGGCCACGCCAAGGTCGCCGTCGCCGCCGACGTCGAGGTCGGCCTCTCCGGTCCTCCGCGCTGCTGCCGGAACTGCAGTGCAATGATGATGCCACTGCGGTGCTGGTTGTCATGGCGACGACGACCTCCCGCCGTCGCATGCGGCGGCAGTTGCTCATTGACCTGACGGCCAAAGGCGGCCAAAAGGCCCAGCCAATCAGCACACCCCCGCCAGGCCGCCGACGCGCACCCCCACGTCGACACGGCCCGGTGACGCCGACGCCGCGGTGACGTCACACCGTCACGCCAGGTGAGCGGGCGGGCGGTTTGGCCGCGTGCACCCCCGCGTGCCGGCCAAAGCACCCCTTTGGTGAGTAAGGCAGTGACTAACGCCGTGGCCTTTGACTTCGTCATGTCCGCTGCGCTGACTGTCCCAGCAGTGCAGCCCTAGTGCAGCCGCGTCGCCGTGGCGGGGTCAGCGAGGGTCGCCGTCAATCGTGGCATTTGCACGGCCCGGCTACCGGCAGGCAGGCCACTGGCAGGCAGGCCGGCCGGGCAGCGAGTGCGCCGGGAAAGAGGTCAAGCGCGCCCAGAGCGTGCGCGTGCGCGGCCACGGCGTGGCTACGCGGCTACGCCGCTGGCGCGGTCGGTCGGTCCACAGTACAGAGTGTACCGGGCAGGCCCCTATCTGCTGTCAGCATAACGGCACCGGCCAGGCCGACGGCGGACCGCGCGGGGAGGCACTGCCGCGAGACCGCCACCCGCAGATGGCACGGCCGCTCCACTCCGCCATCTGCAGCGCCGCGCAGCGCCATTGGCGCAACAACTCATCTATATAAACCACGGTCCGAGATTGCGCGCTGGCCGTCCGCGGGTGGCGTCATCGTCAGCCAGGATCCAGGCCGAAGTGCCGCGGAGCGCGCATCACGGCGGCGCTTCTTTTGTTTCTTCGCTCTTCGCTCACGGCCAAGGACACGCGAGTGCCTCGCGCTGCTCGCGCCTTGCGTTCAAGTCGCTGCGTCGTCGCGATGCCTCGTGACGTACTGCGTACTGTACCTGCGGCAGTCCCAGGGTGGTGGCGCGCCGGCGGACGACGTCCTCGCTCCTGGCGGGCCTCCGCAGCCCCGTGGCCGTCGCGAAGGTGCCGCGGATGAAGTTGCCGGCGGCCACTTCGGCCGCGATGCGGTAGAAGTCGGCCTCGCCGTCCAAACTGTTGGCGCGCGAGCGACGCCCGGGGGGCACCGCCATGCCGCACAGGGTGGCCATGTCACATGACGTCACTATCCACGAGATGACGTCACGGGTACGGGCCGCACTCACTCACTGGCACTGACACTGAGTCACACACATGCACCGCTCCACCGTTCACGGCACCGATCGCGGAGCACACCGACGGGGGCTCGACGCGTCCTGAGCCTGCCAGCTGCGCGCACACACTGAGGCGGGCGCTAGGCGGGCAGGCAAGCAGGCAGGCAGGCCTCCCGCCAGGCCGACGGCGCAGCGGTAGGGGCAACGCTAGCTGCAGGCGGCCAGGCACGCTGGCAGGCAGGCATGCCGGGTGCCCAGGTAGAGGTGCTACCTTGAGCGGGCAGGCGGCCGGCCAGACGGCCGGGCAGACTGGTGCCTGGCTGCCTCGGCTGTCCCGCTCAAAAGGACTGCTCAGCCCCCCTCCCCTCCCTCGGCAGTGCGTCCCGCTGGAACCCTGCCACTGACCTGTTTGAATGTGTATTCACGCACACTCACACACACGTGGGCCATGTGCTCCAGGCCGCTCCAGGCCGCTCCAGGCAAACCATCCCGCATTCCTGCCCTTCTTCCTGGCGTGGTCAGACGCCTTCGCGGCGCGCGCCTGCCTCGCCGGCCCGTCATAGCGCCTGTCATGGCCGACGTGTCCTTCGCATGAATGGTCCAGTCATCCAGCCAGTCAGCCAGCCAGCCCGGGCCCCACGGGCCCGCGGTTTTGCCGCGGTTTCGGACACTTCGGACCGGATTCCTGCGGAGTCCCAGGCGATCGGCTCCGATCACACGGTGGCCCGGTCGATGCAGGTCATGACAGTCTCGAAGCACGGCGTCGAGGCACGGGCATGGGGGCAGCACGGGCAGCACGACGTGGCCCGGGGCGACACCGCGGCCCGGCCCCGTGGCCCCGTCCAGCCGCCGTGCCCTCGGCCCTGCCGCCGTGCCGCCGTGCGCCGTGCCGCGCGCGTGGGCTTGTTATTTGAACTGCAGTCTCTCTACTCCACTCCCTCCCACGGCAACATCGCGGAGGGCATTCCAGGGCCCATCGGCTCCAGCGGCTCCAGCCCTGCTGGGTGGGCGAGGCCGGCGAGGCAATGACACTTTCCAGGTGCTGGCCGAGCAGGCCGAGCTGCCCGAGTGGATCAATGAAGGCGTGGGCCGACGCGGCGCATAGTAAGCAGCGAAATGGGCGGGCCGGCGAGGCGGCGTGGCGGTCCAATCAGCCGCGGACGGACAGATCGACGGCGTGCTCCGATTGGGCAACGCGCAGGCGCAGCAACGCGAGGCATTTCCGCCGCCACGCCGCGGCACTTGATGTCGGCGAGAGCCTCGCAACCGCGCGGCCAGAGGGGCCAGATGGCCGGCTGGCTGCCCTCACCTCGAGGTGCTTCGCGGTACTTCACCGCGCCGCACGTAGCGCACTGCCAGACGGGCTGCAGCCAGGGGTCCCACACCTCGGGTGTCATGTACCGATGGGGTGCCTGATGGCGGCTAACAAGCTCCAGCGGTGGAAGGGGGAGCGCTGAGGGCGTGGGGCGTGATTACTGTGCCCGCGGGGTGCCGGAGGAGTACACTGGGTACCTACCTACAACGCCCTCGCCGGCCGGGCTGCCGGGCTAGGCCCTCGGCTGGGCCGCGCCCCTCCACGGCCACGCCCGAAACCGGACCCTCCGGGTAATGCCTACACTCGCCTAGAAAGAACAAACCCAGTAGCGAAGCCGATTACCAACAAGCACCCACGGCCAAACGCGCAGCCCCGCTGCCGCTGGGGCGGACGTGAATTCATGATCCCAACAAGTGGCGGCTGGCGGCAGTTCAGAGCGTTTCTTGTGTCCAAGAGCTTCCCCCCGAGGTGCATTTGTAGCCTGCATCGCTCGGCATGGCCTCTGCCGGCCGGGGCGCGACGACTGTTTCGAGCAGCCCCCGGCCGTCACGCGCGATGTCCGGGACGCAGTCCGGGACGCAGTCCGGTAGCGCGGGCCGCGATCGTCACGAAGCGCCCCGCCGGCGGCCGGCCGCGCCGCCAACAGCAGGCTGCACTGCACGGCCTGCACGCGCGCCGCACCGTGAGGCCGTAACAAGGCGGCGATGGAGGTGGCCGTCGAGGTGGCCGACGTCGGAACGAGCCGTCCGAACGGAACAACGGAACGAGCACGAGCCGCTGCCGTTCGTCCGAATGGAACGACGACGGATTCATTTCCAGCGGGGAGAGCACCTAAGGTGGAGGCCCAACATTCTGGCTGCGCCTTCTGAAAAAGGAACGAGTGAAGAAAGGAAGGAATCGGACGACGATCAACAAGGCGACGGCGGAGAGGGGCGGCCGGCAGCCTGCCTGCCAGGGCCCTTCCGATGAAAATATTATAATGATCCCCCGGGTACCCCACACTACGCCGCGACGAGTGTCCGCGCCACGCCGCGCCACGATAGAGTGATTGTGAGGCGCATCAGAATGAGCGTGGCGGCGGCGATGCGGCGAACGAGGCAGCAGCAGCAACGGCAAGCGATCGCTGCAGACGGCAGACGATTTGTGGCTTTCCTGCCCGTAAAGAACGCTCTCGGAATGAATCAAACGACGGGGAAGGAAACAACAACTCGGCGGCACAGCACTGCAGCACGGTGCCGTGGCTTAGTCCAGTGCTGCGGCCGCGCTCAGCACTCGTCGCCCTGGGCCTTGATCAACCTGTGCGGGTGTGTGATTAAAATGTTAACCACCGCGGGGCTAATACCAACAACTGGGCCTGCCTCGCCTGGATCTGGATCATCTGGGTGGCGCTGCTCTCTCTCCGTTTCTCCGCGGGGAAGTCCCAAACAAGTCCTCGCAGCATTGTTGGCGGAGGGCTGCCGCGACCGCAGCGTTGTTCTTTTCCGTGGTTTTCCGTTTCCCGCCGAGCGACAAGAGGAAGGATGTTCGCCAATCGGTCAGGCCAGGAACGCCACTCATATCGGGGAAAGGAGGCGGGGCGGGGCGGGGCGGGGCGGGGCGGGGCGGGGCGGGGCGAGGCGGGGCGGCGCGGGGCGGGCGGTTCTCGGCGATTCGCGCGAACCGCGCCGATATCCTCCGCGCTCCGCGCCCGCCTCCTCAAACCAACGACCGGGGCGACCCAGTCCAGTCCTCGCGCGGCATGGCGTAATTATATCTGGCCTGGCGTCAAATTAACAGGTGCGCCTTGTGATGGACGGACAGACATCGAGACGAGACGACGACGATCGCCATGCCGGCAAAAAATAAAGATGAAAAGAGAGAGCAAAGAGCAGACGCAAAAACAAACCAGCGCGGTCCAGCTCCGGCCACGCGTGTTGCGTGCGTTTTATCCAGCAATATGCGTGCGAAATTCGATATCCCGCCACGCAACCGAGTGTATGTGTGTGTGTGTGAACACGACTGGCCTGTTTGCGGCCGTTTCCTAGTTTTCCTGGTCCTGGACGCTGTAAGGTGGAAGGTGTTTACAAACGTGGATGACGACGTGATCGGGGTCGCCGATGATGCCCAGCCCAGCCCTAGCTTGTGATCGGCGCGAAACCACGCCTATTAGACATCGGTCGATGGATTCCGAACGGTGCGTCGTCGCTCTGTCTCCCTCACAGCCCCACGAGTGCGACAGAGAGGCAAGACGGAGCGTCGAAATCGGCTCGCGGTCGGCTTGCGGGCGTCTTGAGGGCAGAGCGGCACCCCGGCCGATCACAAGCCGCGTGCTAAGTGCTCGCTAAACAGCGACAGAGTTCCTCAAGGGGCGGCGGCGTGGCGGGGGTCATGTCGGCGCCGAGTGCAACACGGCGCAAGGCCGCTCCGTTTCCTCATCCAACAGAACCAGCCCGAAAAGTCGCACATAAAACCACAGACATCAACCTGCCGCCTTCATAAACTGGCTGGCGTCATCATGTTCGACTGGTTCGTCGTCGCCGTCGTCCTCGGCGGCCGTATCTCGGCGACGTCCTCGCCGGCCGGCCGCGCCTCGTGATGAATTGGACGCTGGCCTCAATCGGCGTCGTGTGACCACCGCGGCGCCCCCCACCGGGCCACCGGCCACCGGGGCGGAGGGACGTCGGAGCCCGATGACGCTCGCCGGCCGCCCGGCCGCCGCACGCGAAGTGCAGAGCCTGGCGGCTGGCGGCGCCCTGGCGGCGAGCGTCCACGTCAGCGTCCCTGCTAATGGCAGAGGCTGCGCAACCTGCCGCGTCCTTGGACCGAGGATGTCCATGGCAGCAGCCGCGTCACGCACTCGACGGGCTCCGCGGTCATCACGCCGCGCCGCGCTGCCCTTAGCGCCCCGGCGTCGCCGTCGCAGCGCCAGACGAGCGGCAAACGGGCGATGCAGGCGAGCGTCAAGGACTCGTCGGCCGGCCGGCCGGCGCCGCGGCTGTCCGCTCGAAAGCACCGCTGATGCCGGCAATGCCATGTACGTATCGAGCACGCCGCGCTGCGCCAGTGCCCTATGCCCGGCCGGCGTGGCCGCCGTCGAGACCCCCGCCAGCAGCGCCAGCAGCGACATGCACGGCCGGGCGCGGCATCGCGCAGCCTTTGCGCGCCGCAGCAGGGCTGCATCTGGCCGCCACGCCGTTGACCCCGCGTCCGGCCGTCCGCCGAGTCCGAGCCCATAGCGGCCCCGCGACGCCCCGCGACGGGCGGCCGCACCGTTGCGGCCCCGAGGCCCGAGAGCCCCGAGGTCGCCTCGCCGGACGCACTCTGCGCTCTACGACGGCGACCCAGATTACTTTTTTACGGGGTGCCATCTCGTTCCGACGCCGGAGGACGCGTTCTGCTGGAGCACACACACGAGGACGCGCGGGTCGCTTCCGAAAACCGGCCCGCGGCCTGCAGCCCGTGCAGCAGACTGACTCCGAGAGTCGCTTTCGTCGCTCTGTCTCTCTCGCTCGAGAGCGACAGAGCGACGACAACGGTGCGGCGCCGTCCCGCCCGACGACCTGCAGGACCTGCAGCGCCAGCACGCCGCTGATGATGATGGCGAGGAGGTGGCGTGGCGCGGCCGCCGAGTGGGTACCTTTTACCATAGTCGAACCGCGCCATATATAGAGCCTGGGGATAAATAGTTGCACGCAATATTTGTGGCGGCGCTGCAACACCTCCCTCCAGCTCCTCCAGCCAGCCTCCAGCCAGCCTCCAGCCTACAGTGCTGCAGCTCCAGGCAGGCCGCGCCGCGCCGCGTGCAGCGAGCCTCGTCGGC